TGAGAAAATCGATTTTGCAGTGCTGTCTTCTAAATTAAAGAATGGGCATTTTTACAGAATGTTATCAGTGAAGACTTCTTTGACATACATAATGATTGTCTAATAGTTTTCTCTAAAAGTATTTTTATTGAAGTAATGATTAAAGTGTAACTCAGTGCCTCAGGAACACTGACTAATGTCATGTTAATCAACTTGACTACTAAAAAAAAAATGAAGAGGTTGATAGTTTAAATCTAGTTGGTACATGATTCACTTGAACTATCAAAGAAGAAAATGTACTTTATCCAGGACTGAATTTGAAATAAAAAAATTTAAAAATCTAGCAAAACATCTCAGAAACAACTTTTGCAGAGTTACAGGCCATATCCTTCTAAAAATCCAATTTTGTTTCTCTTAAAATGTGTAAATTAGCCCTTGATTCACAGTATCCATATTGATCAACATCTATTGAATGCCTACTCTATGCAAAGTGCTGAACTAATGTGAAGATAAATAAAGCATATATCTGCTTTTAGGGAGCTCATTGGGAGAAATAAGTCATTCATGCATAACTGCAATGTAGGAAATAAGTGGTATAAATGTTGTAGGTATTCTGAGGAGGGAGAGATGGCTAAGTTCTAGCTAGGTTTGGGCAGGTAGAATGAGGTGGGAACAGGAAGATGGAGAATTCTTAGCAGACAGACTAAAAATGGGTATCTTTTGGAAGTAACAAGTTCAGCTTGACTTGAGAGCAGTTTATAGAAGGAGTGCTAAATAAGTCTGGAAACACACATTGGGCTAGGTGGTGAAAGGCCTTGAATTCCAGATTACTTAAATGGAGTTTTATAATATTTTTAAAAAGCTATAAGTGAGCAGTTGCATAACCCTTCTGGAGACATGCAATAATTTTTGTAAAGAACAGGCTCTAAATCTGAAGCTGAAGTCACCTGATTTGTAACCAGCACTGAAAAGTATTGATTGGGCTTGGCCATACTTTTTCAGCCTAGCCTGCACATTTAGGCCATTTTCAGACATTCACATATTTATTCTGGGTTTTTGAGGGGGCCTGGATTATTGTTTCTTGTACAAATTTATAATAGTTGACCTTCCAGATGTTTAAAAACAAAACATCTGCCCTCATATTTATTCCTTCTGAGTGTTCTGTGGATCATGTACACTTTTTCTTCCTTTATTATTGTTTCTTGTACAAAACTGCACTGAAGACAAAAATTATGATTTCTATAAGTAGTTTAAGGACTGATGCAGAAATATTCAGATGCCTGTTTCTTAAGAGCAATCAAACCTTCCATCTTGCAATGAAAAAGGGCTTGGGAGGGAATATTGGAGTGGGCAATCTGAAGGAAAAATAGAGGAAGCGAGGGAGGGAGGAAGGTGGGGGAGAGAGAGAGGGAGAACAATTACCTTCTAGAAGAAATGGTCATAAAGATAAGGTTATACGGGTGTAACGTATAGGGGTGTCAAGAAATGTGCAATAAATGCAGAAGAGATAGGTAATGCTGCTGTAGATGCTAAAAATGTTACTAACTACAACCAAATATAGATATTATGATACATTTTAATCATTGGTTCTTGAAAATAGAGAGCTTAGAAAAGATACCTGAAAGATACCATGAAAATTTTGGAGTAGGTCACCTACCAGCAATTCCTGGTTATATTTTGCAGTCTATTGTAAGAATGAATATAAATTCTTAAAATTCAATATTTTGAGCTTTAAGCAAGTTTCAACAGCTACATCTTTTTTGCTTCACAAATAGCATTAGACCAAGAAGGGAACATAAGTATAATTTCTATAGTATTCATAAGAATCCATCTGTGTTCAGAACTTAGCCACATTGTAGTTTATAAATTTTACTCAAAATTTCATACAACATTTAAAAAACTATATAATGCGGGGCGCCTGCCTGGCTCAGTCGGTTAAGCACCAACTTCAGCTCAGGTCATGATGTCGCAGTTTGTGAGACATGTCAGCTGTGCTGACAGCTCAGAGCCTGGAGCCTGCTTCAGAACTGTGTCTCCCTCTCTCTCTGACCCTCCCCACTCACACTCTGTTTCTTTGTCTCTCAAAATGAATAAACAAACAAGCAAGCAAACTATATAATGTATATGGGGGGTGTTGGAATTGTGCTACTTCCATTTCTGCACCTTGCTACTGAATGAAACTTTTTAGTATAGATGTATATTTCTAGTGTTCATCTCACAAAGATCCTAATTCAAGGACTGAAGCTAACTTTTGCTCAACCCAAATCATACATGGCACAAGAGCGAACATAAGATAGAGTGATGGCCGACACAGTTTTCCCCTCACCACTCTGACTAGCCACATCAGTGGTCCAAAAAATGTATTGGATGCCATCCATGATTCCAAGAGAAGAAAAGAAAACACAGCATTGCACAAAGTAATGCTGTGTTAATGGGGCCTATGATTCCCAGTCATGGGGATCTTCTTAAATATTGAGCATAATACAGACTGGCAAAATTTTATTTTATTTTTTAGGTGTTTTTCCCCATAGACACACAACTCTAATATGTCAGTATAAATCTTTGGGGAAATATTCTAATATTAAACTTTTACAAATCGACACCCAAGATTGCTATTACTAGAATTATTGGAACTTGATCTATCCTTTGAGATAGTCTGGGCCATTACAGTAGGGTTTTTGATATGTCCATGTTTCATGTAAGCCCTTTCTGATGACACAAATGTATAATGGTAGGGGGAGAAAGGTTAACAGCTATATATACAGTTTTGCTTTGTCCTTTACTTTCCTTAAGATTTACTGGATCAGGGGCACCTGGGTGGCTCAGTTGGTTAAGCACATCTGACTTTGGCTCGGGTCAGGCTCAGGTTATGATCTCCTGATTTGTGTGTTCTAGCCCTGCATCAGGCTCTGCACTGACAGCTCTGAGCCTCTTCGGATTCTCTCTCTCTCTCTCTCTCTCTCTCTCTC